ATCACATGTTGCCCTTGTTTCATCACATGTAGCCCTTGTTTTATCACATGTAGCCCTTGTTTTATCACATGTTGCCCTTGTTTTATCACATGTTGCCCATGTTTCATCACATGTTGCCCTTGTTTTATCACATGGTGCCCTTGTTTTATCAATTTGAGTTCGAATTATGATTTTCTTGATCGATCGGTATTTGCTTGTTGTTTTCTTTAATACAATAGTATTGGTTCAAATAGGTCACCTTGTCTATTTCCCATTTTCTGATAGTACTTTATTGCACAATGCAATGCACTAAATTTAATTTTTGCCAAGTTAATTTTTGGTAGGATTCTGCATAGAGAGATGATATACATGTGTTCGTCCTTTAAGGAATCATGGACAGACACGCGCTATACTTTACTTAAAGTTGTCAATGATTGCATCGGCTTACACTTCGACACAAATGTTTTTTTCATTTTTATGAAAACCCAGAAATATCTATGTAAATCATACTGTATGCATGGTACCAAAATAAAGGTTAATTTGTTTATTATCACATTTTAACTTTCAAATGAAAATGAAACTCTATGGGTGTATGAGTTAACAGAGAACTACTTTGTTTTCATTATAGTAGCTCTCAAGTACGGTTCGTTTATGGAAATCTACATAGTTGCATGCCTTCTTAAAGTTAAACAATCTAATGTTAATGTAAGCACGATACAAAAGAGGTAGCAAGTCTAAAATTAGTAACATTGGTCGATGAAAAACGCATTTTATATATTCATTAAAAAATACAAAAATTCGTTTTAACCCATATAATTGTTCAATAGAACATCTTCAGTACATAAGTCATGTCAACAGTTCACAACAATATCATTATCAGTTATATTTCGGTCGCTTTCGTATATCCTTTCTCAGGGAAAATAAAAAAAAACAAACGATCTTGATTATATAAGGTGTGGTTGCCTGTCTATTATCTACATTACAAATAATTTGTGTATATACTTTAAAATATTTCCCCAAACTTGAATCCATTAGTAAACCATAACAAAGTACAAAAAATTGAAAGGAAACGTTAAGTACTCAAGCCGTCCACATTCGCCACCCAATGGTTTATCATAAGTTATCAAAAATCAAATTATTGTCTGAATTAGTTAGTCATTAGAACAAAAATCCATACTTGAGCATGAGAACGGTTTCATGGATACGGTCCCAGGTCTTATTCTCCTTATACTTTTGCTGGGGTCTCCGTGTAAATCTTTTTATCACATGTCGCCCTTGTTTTATCACATGCCGCCCTTGTTTCATCATATGTTGCCCTTGCTTCATCATATGTTGCCCTTGTTTTATCACATGTTGCCCCTGTTTCATCACATGTAGCCCTTGTTTTATCACATGTAGCCCTTGTTTTATCACATGTTGCCCTTGTTTCATCACATGTAGCCCTTGTTTTATCACATGTAGCCCTTGTTTTATCACATGTAGCCCTTGTTTCATCACATGTAGCCCTTGTTTTATCACATGTTGCCCCTGTTTCATCACATGTAGCCCTTGTTTTATCACATGTAGCCCTTGTTTTATCACATGTTGCCCTTGTTTCATCACATGTAGCCCTTGTTTTATCACATGTAGCCCTTGTTTTATCACATGTTGCCCTTGTTTTATCACATGTTGCCCATGTTTCATCACATGTTGCCCTTGTTTTATCACATGGTGCCCTTGTTTTATCAATTTGAGTTCGAATTATGATTTTCTTGATCGATCGGTATTTGCTTGTTGTTTTCTTTAATACAATAGTATTGGTTCAAATAGGTCACCTTGTCTATTTCCCATTTTCTGATAGTACTTTATTGCACAATGCAATGCACTAAATTTAATTTTTGCCAAGTTAATTTTTGGTAGGATTCTGCATAGAGAGATGATATACATGTGTTCGTCCTTTAAGGAATCATGGACAGACACGCGCTATACTTTACTTAAAGTTGTCAATGATTGCATCGGCTTACACTTCGACACAAATGTTTTTTTCATTTTTATGAAAACCCAGAAATATCTATGTAAATCATACTGTATGCATGGTACCAAAATAAAGGTTAATTTGTTTATTATCACATTTTAACTTTCAAATGAAAATGAAACTCTATGGGTGTTTAAATATATACTGCAGGGTGCTTAATTTTTCTTTAAAAGCAATGAAATACTTCGATTCAGGTTTCATTTATTGATTAAACCCTTATATGAGAATTAATATACCAAAATTAATTAATTGTCCAAGCTTTAAACACTTTTATTTAAATAAAGTCGATCGAGTATGTGAATTGTTCTGTCGGGGACCTACGGTCAACCAGCAGGGACACTGGTCTAGAATATCGTAGGGTACTCTCTCTCTCTCTCTCTCTCTCTCTCTCTCTCTCTCTCTCTCTCTCTCTCTCTCGAGATATAGTACTGGTACCACACTAAACATTTGTTTTTAATATTTTACAACANCTCTCTCTCTCTCTCTCAAAGGGGAAATGCTGAGCGATTCGAAGACAAATACCTTTTTTTCATTGTTTATTATTTCAAATGTGTCAAATGGTGAGTTCTGAGAGCTAGTCCAATGAAAGTCCTTCAGTTTGTAAGCTCAGCTGGCCCGATCTTTTCTCAATAACTATAAATTCTACTTGATAAATTTCAACCCACCAATAAGGAAAGATTAATACATGTAGGTGATAAATATCTATGTTTTATAAAACACAACAATTACTTCTTTGGGAGCTAATTAAAACGTTTCGGAAAAGAGATGACCTTAACCTATAATTAAGGCCTAACGACTAGTACTTCTTCCGGAGAACCAAACTGTGACGAATGATGTTATACGGCCAGTATAGCTAGCTTGCTGGCATGGAGTGCTGTTGCAAACTTAACAAAGAAAGAATACATATGAGCGTCTTTGTATGCCCTTTGTTCTCTTGTTCAAATCTTGCCATGTTAAACGCGGCGCATGTTTGATCTTTAACGGTACATCCGCCTCAGAGCAGGCACTGGATTCGCCTCCAACACCGCATTAATTAACATGAATATTTATAAATATAAATTATCATGTTCACAAGTGATATATATACGAAAGCCAATTAGGGTCACTTATAAGAAAATAATACTGGAATACTGTTAAACGACAGCGATAAAAACTCAAAAAAGTAAGATAAGCATTTTTGCGTTAGGCCTAGCTATTTATTGCAAAAAAATCAATTTATGGTTTTGAAAACATATGGTAAAATTTGATTACATACTATTACAGGCCATCATATCATTGAAGACATCTATGCTAGCCGGCAACTTTTAGGCCAATATCAGACCTTTGTCACTGGGGCCCTCCTCGTGCTAAGGTTTGAGGCCTAGTACGTACACGCCGTATTGGTATAACACAGAGGCGGATCCAAAGGGGTGTCACCGACGTTAACTCGCATGCCCCCCCCCCCCCCCCCCCCCCCCCCCCCCCCCCNTTTTTTTGTGCACATATATATATATTCAATTGGTTTTTTTTTTTATTATATGACCATTTTTCATATTATTTGACCGTTTTCATGTTTAACATAACAACGGTCATATAATATGAAAAATGGTCATATAATAATCTCTAATAAATTAATCCTCTCTGATGCAAATGACAGCTAATTAATGTCTCTGATCAGGGCCAGGTAACTTTGCATCATATGAACTGTTCAAAGTGTGACTCTTTATTTCATATCTACATCAAATAGTACTGTATACAATCCATGAGAACTTGAAACACCTTTTATGATCACAAGGTAACCCCACAGATGACCATTATAGGTTGAACAACATACCATCATCCTGTTTACTAGATCGAGTAGTCTCCCTTCCTTGAAGGCTCTTCTTACTGTGAAAACAATAAAAGTCTACAGTGGGGTGGATAGTGTTTACTTCACATCGTCTGCATTAAATTTTCAACATCTCATCGATTTTTCTTCGTTACTTCTCTAAGTCACGGAAAGCAGGCAGTTTTGGGGAAGAAGTTCTGTAATGTAGCACTTGATAGGATCTTCCTATTTCGCCGAGTCCAACATTACTGGAACGAGTTGATTACTGTTTTGTTTGGCGCGGTTGAGCGATAACATGAAAATGTGAAGCACATCCCAGTGAGAGTGACAGGATACAAGTGTAGTAATGATACATCGCGACTGTCAACATCAACAGGTGTTATTACTTCAACTGGACATGTAACAAAGACGAGCTGTCAAGCAAGAAAGATCGAAACCGACAACAGGTATTGAGGTAAGTCCGTAAGATATCGATTTTTACCTGCTTACAGTTCAGCAAACGCATTCCAGGTAGTAAAAAAACAAATCATGGTAATTATGCCGTAATAGACAAGACTTTATTTCCTATGCGACACTCCATCTTCCCAAGATCAGTGAACTTGAAAGAGGAATAGCACGGAAACTTTTATCTGGAGAAACATTTGGTATGAAAAATAAACAAAGGACCATATCTGTATATAGGTGGGGCCTGGGACTTGATTTCAGGATGTGATGCTTAACCTTCCTTAGTTAAAACACATATTCAGGACTTTTCTGGGCACTTTTGGGGCCAATAATGGGCCCCTATCCTAATCGAAACTATAACATATTTACGCCTGGTTCCTAAAATTTGCAGTTAACTCCTGAAAATTTTCCTCCAAAATTGGTATATTTTCTTGAAAAAATGGGACAAAAATGCCCCTTCCCTAAGTTACAGAAATAAACCTAGATGTATTTAAATAGCAAGTTTGGTGAACATACACTCTGTACAAATCATTGTTGATGCCCAGCCAGCTAACTGGACAACACCATCCTATAATTTACCTCCAGTCAGTGGTAGATTTATAAATTTAAAAAAATGAAGATTAATAATCCATGATCAATATCCCTAAAAGTATGGAGGATTTACCAATATGACCACAGTTACAAGAAACTAAATTTCATTCTGCTATTGGGATATTCTGTATTTGTACTCATAGACATAGATCTGGACGTTAACATTGTAATCTTACTACAGGTTCCAGTTGAGTTTTAAAACTGTTTACATACACGTATGAATGTTCTGCATATTTGCATATTCTTCATCGACTTCTTGCAATCAGTTAAACGGATCGTACTTGGGAACATTTATGCATGGACAAATATTCTGTCTACAGAAATGAAATATATCAATATTCATATCACACATATTGCAGTTTGTCTGAGTCACGCAGCCAAAAAACACAGAACATAAATATCCTCTTATGATATTGGTATTACTAGTTTTTTAAGAATAAGCTCCCCAAAGATGTTATTTCTGTCAAGTTTATATATAGACCTCTAGAAATCATAGATACCTTCCTCACGCATACAGTACTTATCAAACTGCATGTATTTATTCTTATTTTGTGTGTTGTTTTCTGATATTTAAGATAGAATTACAGATTTCCTCAATAGAATGTTTGCTATAGTTGAATGCATATTGTTTTCGCTGTACCATTGTCTTCCTGAACCATTAACTTTGTATTTTGAACCAATTTGTGCCTGAACCATTGCATTCTGAACCAATGTTTCACCATTCCATTGTATATATTTCTGAATAATGGTTTTCCCCAACCATTGTGTTTATGGATCATTTTACCCTGTATTATGACCATATTCAAACTCAAAGTTGTTTAGAACTATTGTATCTTGAACAATTGTATTATGTGCCATTGTATTTCTGTACCCTTTTTAACACATTGTACATGTATCTGTGTATTATTGTATCTGACCTGTTTTTAGTGTTGACCTGTAAGGCCGTTGCTGTTTCAGAGAGGGATCACTGCTGCCATTGTACTTCTGTACCCTTTTTAACACATTGTACATGTATCTGTGTATTATTGTATCTGACCTGTTTTAAGTGTTGACCTGTAAGGCCGTTGCTGTTTCAGATCACTGCTGTCACCATGGACATGGTACTGATAATGCTAGCTGTTGTCATCACAAAACAGGTGTCTGCAGAAATCGGTAAGCATTAGAGAGAACAATAATACTGGTATAAATTTGATTCCCCAGATACATGTACTTGTACCAGTCTGTAAAACATTTGTTATTCCTTATTCCTTGTTGAACACTGTTTTTTGACAAAAAACAACAAGTCATTTGAGTCTTTGTTTCATTATCGACATGAAACACTTAGGTTAATGTTAACATGGCTTTTGAGTAATCTTACTGGACTAGGGTAATGCACAAATAGATCTGGGCGCGTATTCATGAAACCGTTCTCATGCTCAGTCAAGCATGGATTTTGTGCTCAAGCCTAGATTCTTGTTTCAGTCATTAATCAATGAAAACTATATATTTTTGTCAATGACTTGGATGAAATTTGAAGAGAGTTAAAGCCAGATAACGTTTTCAGTGTTTTCATTTGCCTTTTTGATTGTTTTACATTATTTAAATGAGATAAAAGAAAGCTGGTTTGAGTATAGAGTCCATGATTGAGCATGAGGAGTTTCATGAATACATTCTCAAGCGTCTTCCAAAAAGGGATGTTTTCTTAAATATACTTGACTAATTACCCGGAACACAGAATGTCTACTTTTTTATATATATATATGCATGACTCTCAAGTCTGGCTGTAGCATGATCAATCTTGGAACATTCATCACAGCATCATATATTCCGGCAAAGACTATAGGGGTGGGGGTGGGGATGGGGTGTTGGGTCAGTGTGTGAGGGGCGGGAGGCAGGGTTAACACATTTCTTGAGTTAAAGACGTATAAAGACAGGATTTGATGACATTTGACTGTCACTGCCATAGAAATGATATGGTGGGCTTATTATAGGCCATGAGTGCATTGTGATTAACTTACTCATTTGTCTTTATCGGTGGAAAATGTGTAGCCAAGATATTGGAACAATAGCGGGTTCTTTCATTTTTGAGTTCTGACATTATTTTATTTTCAGTTTTTTCGGTACTACCTGCCAGCAAAGCGATCGTATTCGGGAATGACTTGACCTTGGATTGCGATGCCAAGGACACGACTGATCCAACAAAGAAGTTGTCTTTTTATTGGTTCTTTAACTCAGTGTCAAGTCCCCCTGGCTCTTCCATCTTCACGAATCACTCCCTGCTGGTCCAGGACTTGAGCCAAGAACACATAGGAAACTACACATGTGGAGTTATGTCTGAGGATTTGAAATCTGTTCTGGCACTCTCAGCCCCAGCAGTGGTCATTCATGCTTGTAAGTACTGTAGGATGTTTGGTTCTTAATGTCTGACCAGCTTGTAAGTAGGATGTTTGGTTCTTAATGTCTGACCAGAGAAAAGTCTAACAGCTAGGACTTCATTTCTAGGATTTGTAGTTGCCATTATTTAAGGGCTGTGTGTTTGACTCAAGCAATTCCAGGCTTATTGCTGTTTGTAGTCATTTCAGCAGCAGCACTATATTTCTGTGTACTTATTCGAAACTTGTCAGTCTGGACATTTTGGTTTGTGTGTACAGTAGAACCTTATTAGTCTGGACACTTTGGTTTGTGTGTACAGTAGAACCTTGTCAGTCTGAACACTTTGGTTTCTGTATTCAGTAGAACCTTGTTAGTCTAGACACTTTGGTTTCTGTGTACAGTAGAACCTTGTTAGTCTGAACACTTTGGTTTCTGTATTCAGTAGAACCTTATTAGTCTGGACACTTTGGTTTGTGTGTACAGTAGAACCTTGTTAGTCTAGACACTTTGGTTTCTGTGTACAGTAGAACCTTGTAAGTCTGGTCACTTTGGTTTCTGTGTACAGTAGAACCTTGTTAGTCTGGACACTTTGGTTTCTCTGTACAGTAGAACCTTGTTAGTCTGGTCACTTTGGTTTCTCTGTACAGTAGAACCTTGTTATTCTGGACACTTTGGTTTGTGTATAACCTTATTAGTCTGGACACTTTGGTTTCTGTATTCAGTAGAACCTTGTTAGTCTGAACACTTTGGTTTGTGTGTACTGTAAAACCTTATTAGTCTGAACACTTTGGTTTCTGTGTGTAGTAGAACCTTGTTATTCCGGACATTTTGGTTTCTGTGTGTAGTAGAACCTTATTAGTCTGAACACTTTGGTTTCTGTATACAGTAGAACCTTGTTAGTCTGAACACTTTGGTTTCTGTGTAGTAGAACCTTGTTAGTCTGAACACTTTGGTTTCTGTATACAGTAGAACCTTTCTAGTCTGGACACTTTGATTTCTGTACCGATGCAGTAGACCTCTATAAGTCTGTATACACTGTGGTCTATGTGTCCTGTGGAAACTTGAGTGATGTTTCTGTGTACAGTAGACCTCTATAAGTCTGTATACACTGTGGTCTATGTGTCCTGTGGAAACTTGAGTGATGTTTCTGTGTACAGTAGACCTCTATAAGTCTGTATACACTGTGGTCTATGTGTCCTGTGGAAACTTGAGTGATGTTTCTGTGTACAGTAGACCTCTATAAGTCTGTATACACTGTGGTCTATGTGTCCTGTGGAAACTTGAGTGATGTTTCTGTGTACAGTAGACCTCTATAAGTCTGTATACACTGTGGTCTATGTGTCCTGTGGAAACTTGAGTGATGTTTCTGTGTACAGTAGACCTCTATAAGTCTGTATACACTGTGGTCTATGTGTCCTGTGGAAACTTGAGTGATGTTTCTGTGTACAGTAGACCTCTATAAGTCTGTATACACTGTGGTCTATGTGTCCTGTGGAAACTTGAGTGATGTTTCTGTGTACAGTAGACCTCTATAAGTCTGTATACACTGTGGTCTATGTGTCCTGTGGAAACTTGAGTGATGTTTCTGTGTACAGTAGACCTCTATAAGTCTGTATACACTGTGGTCTATGTGTCCTGTGGAAACTTGAGTGATGTTTCTGTGTACAGTAGACCTCTATAAGTCTGTATACACTGTGGTCTATGTGTCCTGTGGAAACTTGAGTGATGTTTCTGTGTACAGTAGACCTCTATAAGTCTGTATACACTGTGGTCTATGTGTCCTGTGGAAACTTGAGTGATGTTTCTGTGTACAGTAGACCTCTATAAGTCTGTATACACTGTGGTCTATGTGTCCTGTGGAAACTTGAGTGATGTTTCTGTGTACAGTAGACCTCTATAAGTCTGTATACACTGTGGTCTATGTGTCCTGTGGAAACTTGAGTGATGTTTCTGTGTACAGTAGACCTCTATAAGTCTGTATACACTGTGGTCTATGTGTCCTGTGGAAACTTGAGTGATGTTTCTGTGTACAGTAGACCTCTATAAGTCTGTATACACTGTGGTCTATGTGTCCTGTGGAAACTTGAGTGATGTTTCTGTGTACAGTAGACCTCTATAAGTCTGTATACACTGTGGTCTATGTGTCCTGTGGAAACTTGAGTGATGTTTCTGTGTACAGTAGACCTCTATAAGTCTGTATACACTGTGGTCTATGTGTCCTGTGGAAACTTGAGTGATGTTTCTGTGTACAGTAGACCTCTATAAGTCTGTATACACTGTGGTCTATGTGTCCTGTGGAAACTTGAGTGATGTTTCTGTGTACAGTAGACCTCTATAAGTCTGTATACACTGTGGTCTATGTGTCCTGTGGAAACTTGAGTGATGTTTCTGTGTACAGTAGACCTCTATAAGTCTGTATACACTGTGGTCTATGTGTCCTGTGGAAACTTGAGTGATGTTTCTGTGTACAGTAGACCTCTATAAGTCTGTATACACTGTGGTCTATGTGTCCTGTGGAAACTTGAGTGATGTTTCTGTGTACAGTAGACCTCTATAAGTCTGTATACACTGTGGTCTATGTGTCCTGTGGAAACTTGAGTGATGTTTCTGTGTACAGTAGACCTCTATAAGTCTGTATACACTGTGGTCTATGTGTCCTGTGGAAACTTGAGTGATGTTTCTGTGTACAGTAGACCTCTATAAGTCTGTATACACTGTGGTCTATGTGTCCTGTGGAAACTTGAGTGATGTTTCTGTGTACAGTAGACCTCTATAAGTCTGTATACACTGTGGTCTATGTGTCCTGTGGAAACTTGAGTGATGTTTCTGTGTACAGTAGACCTCTATAAGTCTGTATACACTGTGGTCTATGTGTCCTGTGGAAACTTGAGTGATGTTTCTGTGTACAGTAGACCTCTATAAGTCTGTATACACTGTGGTCTATGTGTCCTGTGGAAACTTGAGTGATGTTTCTGTGTACAGTAGACCTCTATAAGTCTGTATACACTGTGGTCTATGTGTCCTGTGGAAACTTGAGTGATGTTTCTGTGTACAGTAGACCTCTATAAGTCTGTATACACTGTGGTCTATGTGTCCTGTGGAAACTTGAGTGATGTTTCTGTGTACAGTAGACCTCTATAAGTCTGTATACACTGTGGTCTATGTGTCCTGTGGAAACTTGAGTGATGTTTCTGTGTACAGTAGACCTCTATAAGTCTGTATACACTGTGGTCTATGTGTCCTGTGGAAACTTGAGTGATGTTTCTGTGTACAGTAGACCTCTATAAGTCTGTATACACTGTGGTCTATGTGTCCTGTGGAAACTTGAGTGATGTTTCTGTGTACAGTAGACCTCTATAAGTCTGTATACACTGTGGTCTATGTGTCCTGTGGAAACTTGAGTGATGTTTCTGTGTACAGTAGACCTCTATAAGTCTGTATACACTGTGGTCTATGTGTCCTGTGGAAACTTGAGTGATGTTTCTGTGTACAGTAGACCTCTATAAGTCTGTATACACTGTGGTCTATGTGTCCTGTGGAAACTTGAGTGATGTTTCTGTGTACAGTAGACCTCTATAAGTCTGTATACACTGTGGTCTATGTGTCCTGTGGAAACTTGAGTGATGTTTCTGTGTACAGTAGACCTCTATAAGTCTGTATACACTGTGGTCTATGTGTCCTGTGGAAACTTGAGTGATGTTTCTGTGTACAGTAGACCTCTATAAGTCTGTATACACTGTGGTCTATGTGTCCTGTGGAAACTTGAGTGATGTTTCTGTGTACAGTAGACCTCTATAAGTCTGTATACACTGTGGTCTATGTGTCCTGTGGAAACTTGAGTGATGTTTCTGTGTACAGTAGACCTCTATAAGTCTGTATACACTGTGGTCTATGTGTCCTGTGGAAACTTGAGTGATGTTTCTGTGTACAGTAGACCTCTATAAGTCTGTATATACTGTGGTCTATGTGTCCTGTGGAAACTTGAGTGATGTTTCTGTGTTATGGTTTTACATTTACCTTGACTATGTTTTACACCTTGTCTGTAGTTGATGGGTATCAGTTGTTGTGTTTGTCGCGAAGCCTTTGGATGTCGGTGTCGTTACTAAGGGACAATGTAATCAATCATATATTTCCGTGGAGTATATTACAGTGTTTTTTCATTAGCCGGACTCCCGGCAATGGAGTTTCCTTGTTTGTCATAGAAACACCCTGCAGTGTCATACAAAAATTATATCAAATATCTGAGAACTCCTGTAGATTGTCCTCTTAATTTAGAAACACAGGTGGTTTATTACGTGTTCTTCCATAACTAATCTTATTTCCTCCAAGATTCCATCATGGAATTGTTGCTGATATGTAGTCGGGATATAAGAACACAATTTTATAAAGCAGCTGGTCCTTGGAGCTAGTAATTTTGAAAAAGTGCTCGCCAAAAATGAAATATTCTGGTCCCAATATGATTCTATACACGGAATGTGGATATTAGTTATGCCAGCTGGTCCTTGAACCAGCTCATTGCAAAATTGTTTTGTCACATTAATAACAAACATGTTTATTTGTTTTCTGAAGTATATTTATAAATACAGTCACATATATAAGTACTCAAGATGGCATGTTTTACCACAATTGGGAGGTTCATGTAAGAAGAACTTTCATAGGCTTGTCCCTTGCAAAATAAACTGGCTCACAGAAACAATCACTTGCTTGCGTTAGGCCTGAGTGCACGTGGGCCAGGGGCTAAACCTGACCCATCAGTTGTAGTTGTGTGTTTTGCTCTTATAAAACATGAAATTCTATAGAAACCAGTTCCATATTTTCATAACTCAAGTCTCGGTTACATGTATGAAATGAAATATAACTATTTGAAAGAACCTAGCTATGAATTAGTCCATATATATAATTTATTAATTAAATATTGAACACAAACAGCCATTAAATTTCATTAAATAAAGTACTTTCTTGTACTACAATGAATTATAAATTATTTACTAGAAAATGAATACTCTTATGCTCCCCAA